GCTTATGGTTGTTCCACAGCAACATAATAAATGCCCAGAATTCCATGAGCTTTTGTTTTGCTCTGGAAACAACACACTCAAAAAAAGCTCATTTTATAAACACTAAAATTGCATTGCAATATCCATATATATATAAAGAAAAACTTCTACCTTTCATATATACATCATTCATAAAATATATTCCCAAATACATTCATGCATTTTCCCCATCCAAGTTCCCAACATAATAAATGCCCAGAATTCCATGAGCTTTTGTTTTGCTCTGGAAACAACACACTCAAAAAAAGCTCATTTTATAAACACTAAAATTGCATTGCAATATCCATATATATATAAAGAAAAACTTCTACCTTTCATATATACATCATTCATAAAATATATTCCCAAATACATTCATGCATTTTCCCCATCCAAGTTCCCTGCTTGTACCCAAAGTGTCTAAGCTGGGAAGGCTAAAGCCTGGAGACAGACTTGTGTTTGCAGGTGGCTCCAAACCCATGTGGAAATTGTGAAGAAGCCTGTGGTGTTTGGGTGGTGTTGGAGTTAATTCCTGCATCAGTGGGTCTAATCCTGCCTCCCTGGGGAAACAGGGCTCTCCTGTATGCTGTGCCCCATCAAAGCTGCACCAGCTGCCCATGTACAGGCAGCCAAAAGCCACAATTCATCTCACCTTCAGCACTTCTAGTTTTTCCAGCAGTTACTGGAGATAGAATCATGGAATCCCAGAATGGTTTGGGTTAGAAGGGACCTTAAAGCTGATCTTCTTCCAACCCCTTGGCATGGGCAGGGACACCTTCCATTAGACCAGGTTGCTAAAAGCCCTGTCCAACCTGGCCTTGAACACTTCCAGGGGACGGGGCAGGGATGCTCAAGTCTCTCCCAGCACTCAACAGAGGATGGGAAACAATGGTTTTGGAAACAGGAATGTCACTACCTGGCTTTAGTGGAAGGGGATCTATGAATGGAAGAAGCTGTTTTCTTGACCACCATAACCCTGAAGATCAACCACACTCAAGCCCTGCCATCCCTGTCTGCAATAGGAACAGCTTCACCTCTGCTCAGAGGTCAGTCCTTTGCTAACGAAGGTAGCAAATGCCCATCCTGTGTCCATTTATCAAAGCATAAATAGACAAAATATACAAAAACGTCTACAAAGTATTTCTGGCACAAAAGAAGTGCCAGTTTTGCAGCTCAGTAATGTAGGTCCTGTCCCCCATGAACATTGTTTATACAATGTAGGATTCTCCTCCCCTGGAGATGTACCTGGATCGTGTGGCTGTGCAAATATGGGCAGACAAGCACTAACCTCACCTGATCTGAGCTGAGAGGGAAGTCATGCATACACACCCCCATTTTCCAGTTCTGCCCCTCAGAAAGGTCATCAATACTGCAAGTGCACATTCAAAGGTCATTTGGGGAATGCTGCCCTCTCTACTTGCAAGCAAGCCACTTACAAGTCAGCATCCCCTCTCCACAAGGCAGTCCTATCCCTTCAGCTAGCAATCTAGAAACAAATTAAATTCACTCCAACTTCTCCATTTACCCAAACCCAATGTCTTTACAGGACAACCAAAGAGAAGCATTGCATAGATCTGTATCTCACATCTTCCCGTGCCCAGCAAACAGTAAAAGTAAGTTCAAGTTTTGCACCGTACATTACAAAAGGCATCACTTTTAAACAACATGAGAAACAAAAGTGAAGTGTCACCAAGATGTAAACCCTGCAAGTGAGTGAGGCAGTGAGTGTACAGTGCTCAGCAGCTCTGGGGATGGCTGTCCGTAGTGTACTGATGGATTTGCTAACCAAATCTCCTCTCAGACCTGTCTCCCATCACATGGTAGCAGAACTTGCATAATGAGAGAACCTGCTCCTGAACAAATGGAGCGATGCTGTGTGTCACAGGAAGGAGGAGGACACTGCCAGGGCTGTCTGCTTTGCATACAGCAGTTTAAGGACCAGTTGTCCTCTTGGCATTGCAGACTGCAGGACAGCAGTGCTCTTTCCAGGCTTGGGAAGTCCCAACAGAAGTTCTGCTACAGTTGGCTTTACAGTTGAGATACCAGGGCCCAGATCCTCTGGTGGTTTAAACCCCACGTGCTCCATTGGAGTTACCGGTGCTTATTTCCACGAGTGGAGAACTTGGTCCTCGCTTGTCACAGACAGAGAATAAAGCTATGGTAGCCCTTTCTTTAAATAAAATTAAATAACTGCACATGGCACCAGCACACAATTTTCCATGTGCTTCTGCCATTAAGAAAATAGAAAGCACACCAGTGGTTAATTAAATTATTTATCTCCAACTAAAAAAGTTATAATATTACTGTTAATTTAAAGACCCCTTGGGACTGCATAATGTCTTCTCATTGTGTTACTGAGGCTATGAAAGTCACTTGCATGTGTAGAGCACTATATATGCTCTTCAGCTGGCAGTGAAGGCATGTGTTCTTGGAGGTCACTGTTGACATTTTCAGATGCATCTGAGCTGCCTGGAGCTGACTCCGGTGGAGGAGGTTTGTAGAGTAAACAGGAGACTATAAAGAAGGTTGTCCCAAGCACCTGCAGCCATGAAGAGATCCCATTACTTTCTGTTCCCCCAAACACATCTATCCTACATCTGGAACGACATTTGCTGACCAAGCTTTGGGGAGGAGGTGATGCTGGAGACCACCCTGGGCAGCATAACAGTGTACAGAGCCAAGGGGGGGGTAAAAATCTGATTTTAGCCTGTCCCACAGCAACAGGACAGGGAGAATTTGGAAAAGTTCAGGCCCACATGGACATCTGGAGTGCAGTGCTGCATGGGCCAACACTGCCTGAGCCATTTGCTGCAAGGCTTTTGAAAGCCTCTTTATCACAGCAACTGCTAAACACTGCTATTGAGGGCAAGTGCTTGTTTGGGAGCAGTTAAAATGATGTTTTTCTGCTAATAAATAAGAAACACAGTGCTAAGCTCTCTTATTTTCCAGCAGTGATCAGGGAACGGTTATTTACAGCCTGCCCACAATGCCATCCCTCACTCTTACTAACACACTGCAGTTATGTATTTTACTCCACTTCTAGCAAAAATCACTTTGGTTACTGTTGGGAGAAGCGGAGATATTTCATAAGGTGCAACAGAAGCTGCAAGCCTAGAAAGTAATGGGAATTTAAGAGAATGATGGTGCCTGGAGCACCATTATCTGGTGAGACGCAAAAGGGGCTTTTACCTTCCCTGAGAAATATTCCCGTGTGAAAATGTAATTTCATCTGGGGGGGAAGGTCAGGACAACTCAATTTTGTAAAATTCTCTCCCAGAGAAAAATGTCTCCTAAAGACCTTCTTGTTTTATCAGAGAGTGGAGTTAACTGGCAGCAGCATCACCTTGTAGACCAGTCCAGTGATGAGGGTGTATCGGCCCATGGCTGAGTTCTGGTAAACGTAGCAAGAACCCTGCTCACCACACTGGTCCTGCCAGAGCAGGCAGGATTTATCAATCATGGATCCAAAGGCGATGGGGCCAGGGATGCCTCCTGTGGGAAAAGAGAGTGGACCTTCAGTTTGGGCAGTGCTGACACACCAGCCCTGCAAGTCACAAGGTGCTTGCAGAAAAGCATCAGGCCCTGCTGCTACCCTGGTTAAGAAAACTCATCCTGCAGCATCCAGAGCTATGAGGTATCCAAATTACACTGAATTTCAAGATCTGAGAGTCCACCAGGTCTTTTGACCATCCTGACCTACATGCTGCACAAGAGTCAAAAGACACACACAGGAGCTTTCAACACCTCTGCTCCTTTTCCTTAAAGCAAGGGCACACTGCCAGGACATTGCTCTTCTGCCACCTGTGACATGTTACAGAATCCTCCATTCATTTTGAAAATCACATGCAAAGTGAAGTAGATTTTTCTGAATGACTGAAATCAAAAGAAAGCATCCTCCTTTCAACAGTGTGTGTCTCACTCCCTTCCTTCCCAACCCAACATGTTTCATTCTTAGGTGACAGCTTGGCACACGCTCCACAAAAGCACTGGACCACACCAGTGTGCAAGTTCAATCTATTCCATACCTAGTGTTCGTACTACAATCCACTGGATCCCAAGTGCAAATGACCTTTGCCTGTCAGAGACACACCTGGGGAACAAAAAGGGTTTATTTAAAAATGTTTCCAGGGTGCCTGGCACCTCCCTGCCCCACAATGCCATGTACTTGAATCCAGACCCACTGGGACCTCCATCCCCTCTGGAGACTGAGGGTCACCCCAGTGCAATGTCCACCCACCACTGCTCTAAACATGAGTGCATCTCATGTCAGAGAATAAAGCTTCCAATGCTAAGATTTACTTTCCCAGCTAGACAGGGAAGGGAGGGAGTCCTGATGCCTTCAGGTTGCCAGCAACAATGTGGTTCCCACCACACCCTCCCCATGGCTTGAGCCAGCAGGATAAAGTGGAGAGGTGGATATTGAAGCTTCTTGCAGTGTTGGTGGAAGACAAGGCCATCCCATGCTTACCGCAGAGTGGCAGTCAGGGCAGGAATACTGCTCAGGAAGGTGAAGAGGATGACCACAAACATGAAGAACAGGAGCAATGGCTGTTTTTCACAAGAGGAGGTGCATTTTCCTGCCACTGCGTTGCCAGGGTCAGACTGGTGGGTCTCGTAAACACAGCTACACTCATAATAGACCTGGGAAAGAAAGGCTGGTGGGTTCTCTCCCAAGGAGAGCACAGTGAGTGTCAAAGCTTTAAAAATAAAGAAGTTCAGGAAGGACAGAAACCAGCTAGTTTCACTCCTGGAATGGAGGGAAGTAGAAATCAAGCTGCATTCTTGACATATCTCTGTTTCAAAACAGATGATTTAATAAGAGAAATTAATTCTACCTTGAGCACTGAATGTCATCTCTACCCTTCTTAAACCTTTTCCTGGCTCTATGAGCAACATGCTGGAAAGATAAGGATGTTCAGTGAAGATATAAAATAAGCTTTAGTACAGGAATTAGGTGCCTACGTGCCTACCAAGCTCCTCACCTGCTTGAGTGATTTACCACAGACTTCAGCACAGTTTCACCAGAAGTGAGGCAAAACTGGTTGGACACATTGAGGAAAGTAAAGGAGAGTAACCTCAGGGTACCTTATGCCTTCATCCCAGGTGATGCCTGAGAGCATCCATCCTGCCCCAGGCTTTTACACTGACATGCAGCAAAGTTCAAACCTGTGGACACTTCTGCAGAGCCAGCCAAATCATCCCAAAGAAGATGTGCCACCACCTTGTTAATACACAGTGCTTTCAGAAATACCTTCTTGCCATTCGTGAGGTTTTCAGACAGTTGTTTGCACCCAGCATGGCAGGGAGAGTAATACATAACACCATCACTCCCGCAGACAGGGCTGTAGGTCTCCTTCAAACAGCCACACTCAGCGTTGCAGGCTGCTGCCAGGTTTAGGTGCCCACCAGGCAAAGCACTAAGGGAAACACAGGAGCAGTCAATGAACAGCATTTTCCAGAAGGAAATGGGTAGAGGAAGAGAAGGGGTGACAGTAGGAGATGTGGTGGATCCCCAAGGGATCTTCCCTCCCTTACTAACTAGGGAGTCTCTTCCATAAACTCCATCCAGATGCAAAAATTAGGACATCTATATTCTGGGTCACCCTCAGTGTCTGTTTCTAAGATTGACTGGACATCACCTTCCATCCCCAACACATTCACACAGCTGCCACCAGCACTGTGCATTTGGAGTTATCCTCCTATTCTAACCAGACAGAAAGGATGGTGTTGTTACCTTCCATTGTATATCTGGGTCACTCCTGCCATTGGCATATTAGGGCAGTGGATAAAAAAAATGAGCATTGCCAGCAGACTCAATACTGTACAAAGTAAACACAATTTGATGATTCCTGAACAGCGGAGTTTAAATTTATTCACAAGGAATCCTCCCAGGAATGTGCCTCCCCCTCCGGCTGGCACAACCAGATAACCTGGGGAAAAAAAAGAGGGGAAAAAACACACAAGCAAGTTTAGAAATGTCAGCAAGAAGTTTTCTTGTTTGAAGACATTAATTGCAGTGTGCATTGCATATAAATGACCCCTTGGTTCCTGCATGGCTTCAATGGACATTGCTATAATAGATGGTCCTGTGTAACAGGTCAGGTGATGTGGCATGAAACTGGCAGCTCCTTCTATCCAGAGACCTTAAAACCAACTCTTCTTGAGCATATCATGAGTCTTGATGCTTGTTGGGCACCACTTCATTGATTTATGTTACAGCAGCTACCTGAGGATCCTCCCAGTTTTGGGATGCTGACAAAATATATGTCCAGCTCAGATATTCCTTGGGAGAGGAAATGTTTAGTCAATGTCTCCTGGTAATGCACTAGAAGGAACAGACTACAGTTATTCTGCCTTCCTCTAGAGGGTAACAGATGGCTACAGAAATGACACATTTCTTCCTGATGTCAGTAGATACAGCTCTGGAAATGTGCTTAGTGTAGACATGGGGATGGGAAACGATCCTATCTAACAGCTGAAGAGGGCAACTGCTCTGTAAATGAACTGCAAAGCATTTGTCTCCGTTCTAAATGAGCTGAAGTGCTCTTCTATTTGTTGTAGGCAAAATGGGAAAACATTGCAAAAACCTGGTTTCCTTACCAAATAATGTAGCAGCTTCAGAGGCACTTAAACTAAACTGAGACTCCAGGAACTTGGGTCCAAATGTGGACATCCCAGCAATGAGGGTGGCTTCGGTCGCTCCTGCTAAGCAGAGGAAGATGAAGGTGGGGTTCTTCAGAAGCAGCAGGACTGACCTGGGAAGGACAAATACAGTGCAATTGAATCTATGTGGCACATTCTGATTTCAGGTCTGTCCCTATCTGCAAGTTAGAAGGATGGCATGTAAGATGCTGCATCTCTTTGAAATAAAAAAAAAATACCAGAAGGGAGCTAACTGAGGTTTGAAAGAGCAGTGAGCTTCTCCACTTAGGCTTACTGAGTCCTACCAGACAAGGAAGGATGCTGAGGATATCCTCACCTGTCCCCATGTACCTGCACAGAGTAGATATCACAAACAATGACACAAACAGTGTATCTGTTTGATAGAATGCACACTCAGAGCACCCACAGCTTCTACATGGATGATTTCAACAGTAATTTTCCAACATTTAGGGTCAGGCTGAGTATTTTCCATTCCTAAATGGGGAAATACTGAAAGGATATTACTCCTCACCTAATCTCAATCACTTCAAGGTTTTATTAGTCTGTGATGGCAGATATTTTGGGACTCCTGACTCAGCCAAGGGCAGGGAACAAAGTTGTGCTACGTCCTCACATACACATGTTCCTCATGCACCCACATCCTCAGAAGAATAACAACCTCTGATAACCATGGATGTTTTGCAGCTTAGGGGAAATACCAAGCAAGCCTTTCTATATGGAGGAAACACCTCCAAGACACTTTACATCTACTGAAAAACAGAAAACAATCACAAACCCACAATCTAAGCACAGTTTTACTTGAAGCTTAATGTATAAATTGAGCAAATACATTCTATTTCAACCCACTGGGATTTAGCAGAGAGTCATAGATATGCCTGAAAAATTGCCATGTGTCATTTATATGCAGATCCAGCAACAATTCCATCTCTGACATGCGGAAAGGCCCTCGGGCACATAGGATGGTCTCAATTATCTCTCACTATCTCGGATATTGGACTAAGAGGGCTGACACTGCTTTGCAGGGGATGTTTTGTAACAAGCCTGAAATTCTGCTGGATGACTTTCCCCAAGTCTTGCCCAGATCAGTGCCACAGGTTATCCTGTTTCAGGGATGGGCACAAACCCATCATCCCACAACAGCGGCAGCAACAGGGATGCCATGGGATGCTCACAGAAGTGAATGGCACAGTCACTTACCACCCCCTGCTCTGGAGGAAATGTGAGACCAGAGAAAACCTACTGTAGTAGAAGTGAGTGAGAGACATGCTGAGGCTCAGCATCAGATTTCTGAAATTTTACTCACATAAAGTGGAGAATTTCATGACATCAAAAGAACAAAGAGGCTGAAAGACAGAAATACCACACATTCCTACACTTTGATTACAAGGGGGCTTTATACTAAATGTTAGCTGTTGGGATTAGTTTAATTTACTAAACTATTTTCCAGATCTTTTTGACTGTGCTTGATTTGGAAGCACAAAGCCTAATCTTTTAGCGAGAAAATACTTGTGGACCTTGTGGTTGATGCAGAAAATGGAAAGTGCCTCCACCTGTTTACAGAGAAGAGTTGTTCCCTGGCACTAGTGTAACTTTGTGCCTTTTGCCCAAAGGTTACTGTTTAGACTTGCAGGTAGAAAAATGCAAAGGAACTCCTTTCAGTGCTAAGAGTAAGGATTTACTCCTGTAATTCAATCTGTTTGCAGAGAGAAGATGTAGTTGTGAGGAGTTACAGAATATAAAACCCTACAAAAGTCAACACAGACCTTTTCATTGCTATCAGCAGGACTTTTAAACACACCCAGAAACCACCTAGTGACTGAACAGTCTTGACTCTCCTCAGTTCTTGCACCTGAAGGGATTTCAGGAGGCTCAGCACTGCACAGAGAAGAATCCCACCCCCTATAAAAGCTGACTATGCAAGTCTTTACTGATATGAGCATGTATAGGAACTCTTTCATCACATCATGGTGCTCCTGAGTAGGTTGGGACTACCTGTGTGATCAGAGCCTGTTTCCCTGAGAAACACTGCCATGCCCAGGGCACCCCAGACTGTAACAGAGTACAGACACAAGCTAATGAGACATCAATAGATTGATATGTATGCAATCACACAGCACAAAATGACACTTGCTAAGGGAGTGGAGAGCAGCACATTCATCCCACAGGAATGTAAACCAACGTTCCTTTGCATAGCAGGGAAGCTGCAGTAAAGCCATGAGACGAACCAAAGTCCCACCCTGCACCTCATCCAAGAGTGATGAGTGAAATATTGACCCTAGTTTCTTGTGCTAAGAATCAGGGCTTGAAAGATCAGTGAGTGATCCTCAGAAACTCCATCCCCCAGCTCACTAGGACAAAGCCTCCTCTCCTGGCACAGCTCTACATGTCTTCTGTTTGAGTCCCTCTGCACTGACAGGAGGGGTTATTTCATGAGAGCAATCATATGGAACCAGAGAAAGGAAAATGCTATTTTATCAGGCCTTTTCAACCAAAGAGTTAAGACAGAAGTCTCTTCAGGGCAGAGGATTAAGCTGTATGGGCTGCATTCCTAAAAACACTGTGAATACAGCAATTCATTAAGCTCTCTTCAACAGGACATGATGCCATGGAACAATATTTTATTTCATCAGTATTTCTGCTTATCTTCGTGGGACTGTTACTGTCTGTACTGTGAGAAAATGTGTAGCACACAATCCCTTACTAAAACAAAAGGAACAGTGTCCTTTGGCCTCACTCCCCAGTTTGGTCCACATGTCCTGCACAGATGTTATCTCCTCTTTAATGCAAGTTTCCAGAATAGCAAGCCTTTAAGGCACTTCCCTTTTATTAATCAAAACCAGGGACCACAGAAGTCTGTTGGGTTTTTGCTTTCAAACAAAAACCACACTAAGGTCTGAACTGATCTGAATTGTTTGATATGAGTTGCCCACCTTTGGGTATTTGTTCTTCAGGAAGCAGGGGTGAAAGAAGATGCTCCAGGAGGAGGACTCTCTGTTCCTGCTGTCAGAGAGCCTCCACTGAGAAACGTGAGAGCTTTGTTCCAGAGCAGCAAAAAAAGCATCAACCAGTGAATTTCATCCCTCTCTGCTACCCTGTTCGTGTTGGGTTTAGTCATAACCTTATCATTATTTAAATGCAGGTTTTGAATTTAATTTCCGTGCAGAGAATAAGCCATGACCTTGGAAAATGGCACCCAGTCAAGAATGCTATTTAATAACAGCATTGAAATCTGTTCAATGTAATATTCTTCATAAAACTGTCTTAACCCCTGGTAAACTTCCTACAAAGTCTCCAAGAATTTCAGACCAATGTGAGTCGCTGTGTTGACACAACACAGATCAACTGGTGCTGAAAACTCCCGTACTGAGCACCTGCTTCCATCCTCCTGTGCCAGCACAACAGCAAAGACCACAACTAAAGCTCAGATGTAATTGCTGGCAGCAGCCTGGGGTTTGGCAACACCCAGTGTTTGCCTTTGCATGGAGCAGCTGTCACACATGGATGCAAACTCCTCCCTAGAAATGGTCCTGGGAGAAATACAAAAAAGAAAGATCCCCTTATTGACTGCAAGCTCCTAAAGGAATCAAGACCCAGGTACCTCTGCCACATCCAGAGCCAACCCTGAGGTGGAAATAAAGCAGCACCTCTCTCCCTGCCCTTCACTTAAACACAACTCAACACAACAACAAAACCATAAAAGATTTCGAAGATCTATAGCAAAAGTTTGCATGTTAAAAATCCCACATTTTATTTTGGCCACTGGCTTGCTCTCACCCAGGCTCCCTTTAAACCAACTCCTACCAGACCTCCTTTGGTGCAAGCCTGCTTGCCTGCACCACAGAGTAAAGCAGCAGCTTAGGGATTAAGAGAGTTGCTGTGTCACTGCCTTGCCAGAGAGATAAGAAGTGCTAACACATAAAAGGTAGCTGAAAGATGCAAAGGCAAAAGAAGAAACAAGGAAGCTAAGAATAAAAGAGAAAGGGAACTGAAAGCTACAGCGAAGGATATCTTGTTCTCTGGACTTGGAACGGAGCTGTGAGAATCAGAGGGTGTGTTTGATCTCTTTTCTCATTAAAAGGACAAAACAAGGAACTAACACAAGTAAAAATAGAGGAAAGGAAAAAAGCCCCAAGGGGCTGGGAAGAAGGAGATGTTGGAAAACATGCAATTGGGCCAGGTGAGGCCAGACATAAGCAGAGAGGCAGAAATAATGTCACTGGGGAGAGGGAATGAGCTGGCAATGCGTAGGCATCTCCTGTCATCTAAAGCTTAGCATCAGGCTCCTCTCAGTGAAACTCAGCATGTTACATAGGACTGCAGGTGGACATGAACTCCTGAAAACCCCAGACAGGACCAGCCTCGTCTCCTGCTCTCCCATGCAATCCCCAGTAGCAATTCTGGTTCAGCCCCTTTGTCAAGAGCTCCCAGGCACTGATAGGACCAGGCACTTTGCAACCTCCTCTGCAAGAAAATGTCACTGCTTGAAGATGGGCAAAACCTTGGAGCTGGCAGGGCTGAAAGCAAGCTCAGCTTGGGCCCTTTCTCTCTACCCTCTGTGGAGGACTACCTGAACCTTAGGCATGGGGTGGTTTGCTCACCGAGGCAGATCTTTAACTGTTTTCCCAAAGTCTGGATCTGATGCTTTTTTGTGGCTCCCATCCTTTAGTTGATGAGCCTCTGACACCCTCATAACGATATACCGCTGGGATCCTGAAAACGAGAGGCAAATGGGAACAAGGAGCATGTCAGCCATGGGATGTGGATGCTGCTGAAGCAGTAGATTTGAAGGGGGAAAATGCAACATGACACCCTCCCTCTGCCAATGGCTGCAAGGGAGAAGCTCTAAAAAAGGCAGATGGAAAGCCAAGGGAGTGAAATCCATTTAGGAATTACAACTTAAACGCTGGAAGCTCTTCCTCTACCCCTGAGTCCCCAGTGACACACATGCATGAGGATGCAAGCCTTGAGGCAAGAGTGAGCATCACACAGTCCCAGCCTCAACCCTGAAGCAGTGGCAGAACTGCATACCTGGGAGACGCTGGGGATACCCCAGGATGGGGATGGAGATGAGGAGAGAGGCTGGTCCAGCCCCCACGAGGAAGCCAATCCACCATGCTCCCACCCACAGTGCGTTCTCCGGGGCCATGTCAATCCTGTAAGAAGCAAAGCAGAGAGGACGTAAGAGAGAAGCAAAGCAGAGAGGCAATGGTTAGAAATGAGCAGACAGCTCAGTGTGCCTCCTGTGGAGGTTGTCAGGGGCCAGGGGGACACAGGGGGGATGACAGCAAAGGAAATTGAGCTCTGGTCTCCCTCATAGTGATCTGATGGGGATGCCACATCCACCATCCCTCCTGCCACACCACAGTGCTGCCTGCCTTACTGGAGAGCACAACACTTAATGAGACCAGGAAATGATATCAATTATCATTTAATCTCTGACTTGCATGTTCACCTCACATTCATCTCACTTTTCAGTCGTGCTTTGAGGGTTGCTGAGATCCTCGTTCTACCCCAAAACCACCCTTTGCAAGGAAGCTGTAGGAAACAACCCATTCCTTCCCCTGGAAACCCACTTCCCCTTTTTAATCCATTCATCTGGACTAGTGAAAGGTGTCCCTGCCTATGGCAGAGGGATTAGAACTAGAGGACCATTGAGGTCCCTTCCAACCCCAACCATTCTATGATTCCCTGATCTACCAAAGAGCCTGTAAGGAAACAAGAATAAATTACAAATACTACAAAGCAAGGAGGGACTAAGCATCCTGGTGGGATGACTGGGAGGACAAGCAGCACTGCTGGTAGCTTTGCCTCATCAGGGAACCCATTCAAAAAATTCACCTGCTGCTCATAGCCTCATTAGCACAGGCAGTGCAGCGTGAGGAAGGATTTAAGCTGACAGGTTTGTCAGCAATTTTCCTCCAGCAGCAGCACTAATGCAAACCACCCTTCCAGCCTCTCCCCTGATGCAGACACACCACCAAACACCACAGGCACTGCTTCCACCCAGCCACCAGGTCATTGCTTCAGATCACTGTTATTATTTTTTTTTACCCCAAAGGAAACAGAGTATAAAGGGAAAGGAACAAGATTGTTTTTTAACGACTTACTCTCTGCCAATTTCAGTATAAATAGTTAGCAACTTTCCTCCTACCAGATAACCTGCTGCAGGCCCAAGGATTGCAGCAGTGTAGAAAATAGCTGCAAGGGAAAACAAACCGTGTTAGACAATCAGCAGTGTGTCAGTCAGGAATGCTGCAGAGCACTGCCAGTGCTCAGCATCCCAATTTCCTCATGGATGTGGGATGCTCAGCCTCTGGCCACCTCACACCCCTCTCCCTAAATCACTGAGACACAAACCCAGATAGTTCTAACAAGTTTTCATCTCATGCTTCTGTCCCAAGGAAACTTTTGCATCGAATCTGGGGGGTTTTATAGTACGGGGCTGGCAAAATTGGTCCAGTGGAAAACCATATTTAGAAGGGATGTAGCAGGGATGAGTGCTGGTGTGATGAGCAGCAGTGCTCTCTCCCCACCAACAACATGCAATGTCTGTGCTAAACACAGCACCACTGGCACATATTTTGGTTTGCTGCTGTGGAGAGATCATCAACTTGCTGATGATCTCCTTGTGATCTCCTTCCCACACTACACAGCCTTCTGATACAACAATATGGGCAGACTGATAAGTTCTGAAATTGCTAAAAGGTCACCCACTCCTTTTAGCAATTTCACCAAATAGGACTGTAAGTATTTGGCAGCTGCTAAGTGACCAGAGATACAGAGGAGTGAGCTGAGCCTCTTCTCTTGGCTGTTCTTTTCACCAGCAGTAGCTGAGCAGCTCAGCAACCATCCCTGCTGTGCTGTGGCACTGAAGGGGTGATAATCTAAAGACAGATTAGATATAGGAAGAAGTTTTTTTACAATGAGGCTTGTAAAACACTGGCACAGGCTGCCCAGACTGGTGGTGGATGCCCCATCCCCGGAAACATTCAAAGTCAGATTGGACAGAGCTCTGAGCAATCTAATCAAGTTGAAGGTCTCCCTGCTTATTGCAGGGGGTTGGACTAGATGACCTTTAAAGGTCCCTTTGAAACCAAACCATTCTGTGATTTTATGATTGCACGGATGGGGTATGGCCTCGTGGCTGTCTGCCAGAGATGCTAATGCCACGTGCACACCGGAGCACGCCAGAGGGCTCTCCCCAGCTGGCTCCATGCCAGGAGCAGGAGCCACCTCCTGCTCTGCAAGGCATGCACTACAGGAGGAAAAACACCCAGCTGTGCTCACAGTTCCTCCCTGTAAAAAATCAAACCCTCCCCAACAGCTGCCATGTCCCTCTGATTTGCACCTCACCCATTATCAGGAACAAAGGACTGGGCAGTGTCAGGAGAGGTGCTCCCAGTGTGGGCAGTTGGGTGCTGAGGCAGAAGGACCAGCTCTTCCCCCCATCACCCTGCTCATGGGTTTGAGCTGCCCGTCCAGCTCCACTCACCAATGTACACAGGGGAGTAGTTAGTCTTGACGTTTTCATCTAAATAAGTGACACCAAGGGTGTAGAGTGGTGTGGCTCCCATTCCGTGCAGGAACTGCCCCAGCATGAAGACAAACCTGTAGCTGGAAAGGCTGGAGGCAGCTTGGGAGCACGGTAGGCTCTGGTTCCTCCCACAGATGCCCACCTCGGTCCCTGAACGTATCTCATATTGTCCTGTGGTAAAGTGGGGCAAGGCAAAGAGCAGGGAGCCCAAGCCCATGACCAGCACACCCCAACCCAGCCATCGTGGTTTGTGGCCGTTCCCCCCAAAGTAGCTGACAAAGGTCAGGCAGACACACGCGGCGATGTCGTAGGAGCTGGCGATCAGCCCACTCTGGTAGCTGCGGAGGTCGAAGCGGCGCTCGATGGAGGTGATGACAGTGTTGATGAAGCCATTCACTGTCATGCCTTGCAGGAAGGAGGCCACGCAGAGGAAGAACAAGACACCCCTGGATGTGTTACAGAGCTGTAAGCACCCGGGGGTGAACCTTCCCCAGCCACAGGCCAGTTCCTTCCCTTCAGTCGACACGTATTTAATTCCATCCTCATACTGGGTCTCCTCCTCTCCTGGGGTGGTGGAGCAGAGGGGTTGAGCACATGAGTCAGAGGGGCTGGGTGCACTGGAGGATGTGATGCCATTGCTCATTGGGGTGCCACAGGCATCTTGCCCACTTGCAGCACTAAAGGTCCGTCCAGCCTCGCCAGGACAGGGAGATGGGTGGGAGAAGTCAAGTGTCTGAGTGAAACAAAAACCATTTTCTCTGGTGGAATTCTGGGGCATTGCCATGAACAGGATGCAGGGTCAAGCAGCAGGTCGAGGTGGGCTGGTGGCCAGGGCAGCTTCGCAGGGCAGCGAGGACCAGCCTGTCCAGGAGATGTGACTTTCAGCACTTACATGAGTAGGGAGATGGTGAAGGTCTGAGCCAAGCCCACTCTGATCTGTGAAAAGAGAATTTTTACATGCCTTTATATAAGACCATGCATAAACCCATCAAATCAAATACTGTTCCCTTTTTCCTTTATTTTTTTTTTAATAAGTAGAAGCACTTCACTGTGCAGTTCACCAGGTCATGTGCTCTTCCCCATGGGATGTGCTGGTACCTCAGGTGTCAGGGAACCATTAACATACAGAAAAGGACAAAACATTCAAGAGCATTAACCAAAAAGCACCTGTAAGGCTGTTTCCCCACCAGCTGAAGCCTCTTATCCCTCCTCTGGAAAAGACCTGGTTAGACTCCCACATCCTCCATCCCTCTCCTTCCCCCTGGAGAGAACAGCCCACACAGCTACAAGTTTCCCACTGCTAAAAGTCCTTTGGTCTCTCTTTCACACTCTGCCAGTAACAGTTTATAATTATCCTGAAAAGTTTCCACAGTCAGATTGATTTTATTCCAAGCCCTCAGATCTGTTTACAACTATTCAGTAAAATCCTTTCTATAACTAATTAGACTACATGCCATTTCGGAGCGAGCTGGAGGGCAGAGGCAGCTGACTCTAACCTGATTACTGATGCAGACTGCCTTCTTTCAACCAGTTCCTGTGCATTGCAGCACCTGACTCTGCCAGAAACCAAGAGTATTTTTCCTTAAATGCCTTGGCTGAACTATAAATGATGACAGTAATAAGGTTCTCCCTTGAACACCAGTCTTAAATACACAACAAATGCTAGGAGAGAACTGTTTTATTAGAGAGCACCTTCAAAGCATCCTGTATTTCCCCAGATTTTTTGCCAACATTTGTTTGAGAGGTTCCTATAAAAATATTCCCCTTGAGATGGCAGTCAGCCACATCAGCAGAGAATGGGGGAAAAGGGCATTTGTTTCCCTGATCAGATGAACTATGTTCAGGTGGTTGTCACCTGGTAATATTGCAGCCCTTGGTGAAGATGTTAATACTTAGCTGTGTGTTGCTGGGAAAAAAACTTATTGACATTTGCTGAGTAGATAACAGAGTGCACAAGCACTGATGTGCTTCCCTGCACCAGCAGGTCTTGCAGGCACTGCGGAAGGAGGACTTGGCCAGTGATGTTCAAGGCACTAAAGTCCTATTCCCACCCCAGAAGGGCAGAGGACAGGCCACATGTACTACCAAATCTCAAAATCCATATGTAGTGCTACAACAAGTCTGGTCCTTAAGGTAAGCTAAACCAATGAGGTACACTTTTAATAGGAAAATAATTTTATCTTAATTACTGTCTGGGGAGCAGAGTGCAATGGACTATTTCAGGGTCCAGATTGCAGCAGAGGAATTTGATCACAGGGTGAGCCTGGCAGAGTGGCAGTGTGGACATGCACTGCTTTGCACGTCCACACTGGACTCCTCCAGGTAACTCCTACCTTAGCTGGCTGAGCACAGCACAGGTAACTTTGATGTGTAACATGTAAATGCAAAAACTAACTGCAGGCATTGAAATTTTGCTGCAGAGAGAGACTGTTGTGTTGGCACAAAAAGATAAAGCCTTAGTGCCTGGCAGAGTGGCAGTGTGGACATGCACTGCTTTGCACGTCCACACTGGACTCCTCCAGGTAACTCCTACCTTAGCTGGCTGAGCACAGCACAGGTAACTTTGATGTGTAACATGTAAATGCAAAAACTAACTGCAGGCATTGAAATTTTGCTGCAGAGAGAGACTGTTGTGTTGGCACAAAAAGATAAAGCCTTAGTGCAAGGCTCTATTTTTTCACTTTTTTTGCCCCTTCAATGTTCTTATGACTCTTACGGTTCTAAATCTGTTTCTCATCTTTAGATGCAATATTGGAAGTAATAAATAAGACTGCTTTAGCACTCTGTTAAAGTCAGGAGTGATTATTAGGTGCTGGCTCAGGCTCTAAGGGGCGTAACAGCTCATGTTCATGTAAATCAAATGTTCCTCCTGCACAGCAGCCACTGACTGCAGCTGCACACAGCTCCTATCAAACTTACATCAGACTTATGTCTGATGTTACATTTGACTGCACTTGTAGAGAAGGTTGCTTGGCTGGAAACTGATTTTGCTCTTACTGATTTCAGTAGATAGAAAAAGTCCATCTCTGTTATTACCTGATGCAACCAGGAACCATGAGCTCCCAAACTGGCCCACTTTCCCCCTGGAGAAAACACTCCAGCTGTCTCTTTACTAGCACTAGGATATCTCCTTTGACACTTCATGAATTTATACTGGTATTTTGGTATTTCATGAGTCAGGAAAGAGATTACAGCTTTTCATTATTTTTTCCCCTTGAAGTTGCAGGAGTCTGGGCCACCAGACATCATTCCCCTCTTCCACTTCAGTCACTCTTAGTCCTACTTAACAGCAAACAGGGTGAAACATTTCCAAGCAAGCATCCAGTTTTTCCTCCAAGCAGCAGATGTTTCTCCCCACCCAGAAGACTTCTTAGACCCAACTCCTGGTCTCAATGGACCAGGAGCAGCAGATGTTTCCCCACACCCAGAAGCCTTCTTGGACCTAACACTCACCTCCTGGTCCCTCCCAGGTCCCCATGGACCTGGGCTAATGACTTGTGGCCAGGTGCAGTGGGCAGGAAGCCCACACCTGCTCCATGCTGTCCACCAAGCTGCTTGTCATGTCTTCAAGTATTTATAAACTGGCTGTGACACATTCACTGTGGATATTAGCTTTCATAGGAGCCATATGCCACTTTAGAGGGCAAAAAATAATCTTTAGGGAAGAAAACCCAAGCAACTTCACACACTTCCTAATCATTCTTATTCATCCAAGCTATCTGTTTATTGCTTCCCATTCATCTCAGTTTTTAATGACTCAGCTGGTGATTTCTTGCTTACACCAAATCAGTCCCAATGCTATTATCTTGCAGCCATAGATTTCCTCATTTTGCTGCAAGATTTCCACTCTTTTTCCCCCACTGTACAGCTGGTTCCAGACTGCCAACATTACCGAGTCAAAGCAGCAAAAGTAGCAAGGCAGTGAAAGCATATGATTTGTATTTCCTGATGAAATCTGTAAAGACTCACCCCCCCCTTAATATTTAGCATTAAATCAAAAGTAAAACTTACAAGCTTTTCATCAGGTGATCATTTAAAAAGTCACAGGACCAATTAAAAACATTTTGTGGTTCTGCCAAGCACTGCGTTAAGATTAATGTTACAAATTAACTCATATCTGACATGCAAAATAATCCCATTTGCTGAAACATGCCCAATAATAGTTAATCTTCCCATTCACTCTATGGTTTTTGACTTTTATAGGGTATTGTTGTGGGAAATAACATCTATTCATAACCTCTGCTTTCCATAGCTGAGCACAGTTTATGAGCAGACTTAATAACTGTTTTCAATTCTATGGCATACTATGGAAATATTTGCTAGGGGACAGGGATAGGGGATTAAAAATGATCAGAAAGTGTAATGCAAACTGGGGAGGAGCAACCTCAGGCAATGCTTGATGGCTGCAATGGAACAACCTTACTCTCCTCAATGTGTGAGCCTGACCTTACTGAACAGGGAGTTTGAATTTGGGACAGTCCACATCCAAGTACCAAGCTCATGTTACTCCAGAAAGGGACAAATTTATCCAGGTTTGTACAATTAACTTCTCTTGGTAACACACACTGAGTTTATCTCAGATAGTTTGGCTTCAGAGGATTACCAGTATTACTTCTGTCATGGCTGATAAACACCATACAGATCAAGTGTAATCCACTGGCTGCTTTAGGAATGGGGAAGCCTCCCAGAAGTGAGATAAATCCACATCCCAGTCCTGTGAACAGGGTTTGTCCTTGGGGTTTGTCCTTAGGGCACTGGTTCAGTTAAAGGGAAATAAAGGTAAGCATGGGTTGAGCAAATTGTTCCCGTGTAACACTGAATTGTTTTCAATCTTACATTTTTTTAACACCCTTTGAAAGAGCATCTTTCTGGTTCAGCAACAGAGGATGCTGCTATTGCTGGGAGTGGCATCAGGACCAGTCTGGAACCTTTTGTAAGCAGTTCTTACAGGAACAACATGATCCTGCACACACAGAAAAGTTTCAGGAATGAGAAACACACCTAGAGAGCAGCCAGCTGACCCTACACTCAATGCTGTGCTCACCATCAGTGCTGCAGGGATGGGGAAGGAAGTTCCTAGAAGTGCAGGGTGACAGGAATACCCCATCCCACCCCTCATGTCAGAGATGTGTTTTCACACAATTAGTCCTGCTGGAGTCTGAAGCATAGAGGGGAGCAGTAGAAACTGGCTGTAAATTATCACATGAACAAGGACACATTTATGATTAAATAAAGTCCAAACAGTAAAGCTTAGCACTCACAAATCCTCTGTATATTTTCCAAGGGCTTTCCATTCACTGGCAAATTAATACGATAATATGCAAGAAATCAGGAAGGTGGCTTGGCTAATTTTCAATTAGCTGTTTGAAAATGCTTTGAAGATAAATCTAGCCAGATTTTCTAAGCCTACTTACTTGTTCCAGCTTATCTGAGCAAATACAATTGGCTGCAGCTGCCTTCAGACCACTTTTAAAAACTTGCAGTGCCAATGCATGCAGCAGATTTAACCAGGACACTACGTTTTGCCATAACAAAGATTAGCCAGACAAAAGGGTCTTTTATGCTATAATACCTAATTGCCTCTCTCTAATGTCAGTCTTGCTTTTTAATATCTTTTTCCTGCCCATAAGTTTGATCAATGTTGAGAAGGTTTTCATGCTGGCACAGCACTGTGCTCTCCATCACCATCACTGCCCATGGAGCTGAGTGTCTCCAGATATACCACAAGCATTTTCCCAACATCTAGCCCTGCCCATTGCCTCATGGGATCATTTGGATTCTTAC